CTGTATCCCATATTTGCCACAACCTTTCTGTATCTGCATTTGTGTATTTCGGTTTCAGCTGATACATTTGATTTGGCGTGTAATTTGTTCCAGTTAATGGATTAATTGGGAGATCTTCATGCGGTGTGTTATTATTGTACTCCCAAATAAAGGCAGGAATAGCCTGAATGCTTTGGCAGCGCTCCAATGTCGGCCAGAATCTCTCAATCTTCCCATTTTGGTAGGGAGAATGAGAGTCTGTATGCCGCCATTGGACGCCCCAAAGATCAAGTAGATCTTGAAAGGCGCCCCTATTTTCTGAACCGTTGTCGGTCCAGAAACAATAAGGGGCGCCAAATTCAATAAAGGCGGAAGCCGCAACGTTCGCTGTCGTCGCTGCCAGCATATCTGGTATTTGTATACACGCTAGGACTTTGCGGCTAAAATCGTCGATTATGCCATAAATATACTGGCCACGAACACCCCTAAAATAATGAACATCTGCGTGCCAGATAAGATTGGGTGAAAGCGCCCAATATCTTACTGCTGTTTCTGGCCCGGCATGCTCTAATCGCGTCTTGGTGAAATGATTTTCTTTGAAGTATCTGCGTACTTCTCTATAAGATACATCAATTTGTTGTAATTTCAAACGTTTCCATTGTTTTGTTTGACCACAGGGAAAGGCCCAGTGGTCATGTATCACAGCAAGAGCTTTGATTTGGTCGTAGGGATTGACCCTACGACCTTTCTTGCCTTTAGGCAATGGGATATTCTGTAAGCTAAATTGATTTTGTAAAAAAGATTTTGAAACATCTAAATATTTGAAATCATTTGATTGAAGGGTTGGGGCGATGGGAACATGTGTGCAAGCTTCTTCCCATGTCATTTTACCTTCTTCAATCTGATTGGAAATACCAATTAGGTAAATTCGATCGACATACCCTTTGTAAGGATTCATTCTAATGAAGTACGTTAACAATCAAAATATTCTATAAGTGTCTAGTATGGAATTCAAAAGAATAAAGAAAATGGTAACGTAAATAAACGTATTATGAAATAATTTATAATTAAAATGAAAAAAAGAAAAAATAATAAGTAAAGTGACTGGAAATGAAAATGAAAATCAGTGTTGTAATAAACAGAAATTCATCAAAAGTGACAGCTCTCAATTTTTTGACATTTGTAAATTCTAAATTGAATGAGAAAAATGAAATAATACTAAGCATAATACAATATTCTAGATTTAATTATAATTAGGAAAAAGTTAGTTTTGAGAGTACTTTTCATAGGCATATAGAATGAAATCTCCTGAAAAATAATATCACATAAACTCATATTATTTTCTAATATATAACTATTTTATATAAAAATCAAATTCGAGAAAGGGACAGACTAGCCCATTGTCACTTTTTAATTTAGCAAATGAACGCTTATGGAGTGGAGTTTTTGGGTAAATCTGATTTGCTTATAAATGAAATAAAATCAAAAGAAACCATATTGGCATTATATTATGCAAAAATAAATGATCTTACTTAGTACTTTTAAAGTTAATTTCAGAAAAAATTTGACACAATGGTATCCGGCACATACAAGTGGTGTACAACCAAAATATAAGTTGGTTTAAACATATATTGCTATATCTCATGATCTTACTTAGTACTTTTAAAGTTAATTTCAGAAAAAATTTGACACAATGGTATCCGGCACATACAAGTGGTGTACAACCAAAATATAAGTTGGTTTAAACATATATTGCTATATCTCATGATCTTACTTAGTACTTTTAAAGTTAATTTCAGAAAAAATTTGACACAATGGTATCCGGCACATACAAGTGGTGTACAACCAAAATATAAGTTGGTTTAAACATATATTGCTATATCTCATGATCTTACTTAGTACTTTTAAAGTTAATTTCAGAAAAAATTTGACACAATGGTATCCGGCACATACAAGTGGTGTACAACCAAAATATAAGTTGGTTTAAACATATATTGCTATATCTCATGATCTTACTTAGTACTTTTAAAGTTAATTTCAGAAAAAATTTGACACAATGGTATCCGGCACATACAAGTGGCGTACAACCAAAATATAAGTTAGTTTAAACATATATTGCTATATCTCATGATCTTACTTAGTACTTTTAAAGTTAATTTCAGAAAAAATTTGACACAATGGTATCCGGCACATACAAGTGGTGTACAACCAAAATATAAGTTAGTTTAAACATATATTGCTATATCTCATGATCTTACTTAGTACTTTTAAAGTTAATTTCAGAAAAAATTTGACACAATGGTATCCGGCACATACAAGTGGTGTACAACCAAAATATAAGTTGGTTTAAACATATATTGCTATATCTCATGATCTTACTTAGTACTTTTAAAGTTAATTTCAGAAAAAATTTGACACAATGGTATCCGGCACATACAAGTGGTGTACAACCAAAATATAAGTTGGTTTAAACATATATTGCTATATCTCATGATCTTACTTAGTACTTTTAAAGTTAATTTCAGAAAAAATTTGACACAATGGTATCCGGCACATACAAGTGGTGTACAACCAAATCTTCGACTCGATGAACTTGTCATCGAGTTATATTCCAGTGTTGTTCCTTCATTCCTGATTAAGTTGCAAATTAAAGGTCTGGATTCAGAGAGAAGTGTTAAAGTTATCAAAAAAGTCACAAGAGATTTCGAAGAAATGACACAATTTAAAAAAGTCGAATGCATCAGTATGCTTGAAGCTGTTCAGAAAGGTCTGAAAAATGATACACTTGATCCCAACATTGTTTACTCAACATTAAAAATATTATTGCAAAGAAAACATTTGATTTAATAAACATTTAATTTATTATAATTAATTTTTTATTACAGTATAGTAAAAAATGCTATAAATAAATTATTATATTTTATTAAAATGTGACTTTTAATAGTAAGTGAATAAAATAAATCAGGAATTGGGAAAGAAATAAGGTTAATTAAAAATAATGAAAATTGCAAGTTTAAGGTTAATGAAAAAGTGACAATGGGCGAGTTTGTCCCCCACTCATCAAATTCAATGATCTTAAAAGCGAAGGATAAACCTCAAAATTTACGAATATAATGAGTGGGAATATAATGCTTATCTATCATAAAACCATATGAAATATCAATTTTTGCTTTACGCCTAATTTTTGACGACAATTAGCAAAAAATGTTAAATGTTAACACTCAGTCCATTTGAATATGAAAAATAAAATTGACTTTGATTAAATGTTTTTATTTATCATGCAATTCTTCTTGCGACCAAAGATTTGAATAAAAGTTCAAAAAATAAGATAGCTTAAAAAATAATATACGGTAGTGTTTACTAATAGATGAATAGTATATAAATTCTATTAAAATGGATTTGATCCAAAAAAATATATAAAATTTGGTCATAAATAAAATCGTTTTAAATTACTTCTTCATTTAAATTATAACAATTATTTTTGGTTTTATATTTTTTTGGATCAAATCCATTTTAATAGAATTTATATACTATTCATCTATTAGTAAACACTACCGTATATTATTTTTTAAGCTATCTTATTTTTTGAACTTTTATTCAAATCTTTGGTCGCAAGAAGAATTGCATGATAAATAAAAACATTTAATCAAAGTCAATTTTATTTTTCATATTCAAATGGACTGAGTGTTAACATTTAACATTTTTTGCTAATTGTCGTCAAAAATTAGGCGTAAAGCAAAAATTGATATTTCATATGGTTTTATGATAGATAAGCATTATATTCCCACTCATTATATTCGTAAATTTTGAGGTTTATCCTTCGCTTTTAAGATCATTGAATTTGATTTTTATATAAAATAGTTATATATTAGAAAATAATATGAGTTTATGTGATATTATTTTTCAGAAGATTTTGTGTTCTTCTTCAAAATTTTACTTTTTTATTAAAAAGAATCTTTACAAAATATACATTTACTTTAATTAATATTTAAAAACGTGCTCTATCAAAAGTTCCAAAAATTCAATATTTTAGCTTTTCTGAGGTGTCACTTTTGATGAATTTCTGTTTACAAGAGTGTACAGTTTTATTTTTTTCTCGCTGTGAAACGTATTCGGTCATTTTTTTAAAAATTAATTTTTTGTTAGAGATAAGAGCTAAAACTCGGTAAACAACTTCTTTATGTCTAGAAAATTCTATCTTGCCTTTTATTTTTTTCTCGCTGTGAAACGTATTCGGTCATTTTTTTAAAAATTAATTTTTTGTTAGAGATAAGAGCTAAAACTTTGCAGACAACTCCCCCATGTCTAGCAAATTTAACATTCGTCTCCCATTTTTATATATTTGGTTTAGAATGTTCGAAAATGCGTAATATGGTCATTAATATTAATTGAAAAGAACCTTGAATTAATTCAATCTGATCTCACAAAATATTTTAAATTACAAACTTTGTAGTTTGAATAGATAATTAGTATTAAACTCAAATAACTAGTTTATTTTTGAATAAAAATTATTTGAATTTATTCAATTTTGTGAATTTTCCTTCAAAAATCAAGTTTAAATATCTTATTTGCCATATAATTATAAATACAATGAAACATATTCGAAATTGAAAAGAATGACTTTTTCTGTTCTTTCAATCATTCAATTTGAATTTTGCAATATTGGATTTCTCATTAAATAGCTATTAAAAACAACAAGCAATTTAACTTACATTCAAATTTATTTGTGTTATATTCAATCTTCTCAAAACTTATAATTTTCGGCTATAGCATGATTATATGCTATATAATATAATAAACCTATAATAGTATCATTCTTTCAATTATTTGAAGAGAAAACCGAAAAAATCTATTTTCGGTCTATAACAGTTATGAACAAAGTTATACATGAAATAACAATTAAAATTTTTATTTGTAAATGCATTCCTTGTATTCAAGAGTAATGAGGGACCAATATATATAGTATTCAATAGCTCATAATACACATTATATTATGCTTGTTTTGTTGCATAATTTTATAAATGAAAATCCCAATTGTTATCTCAAATAGACAAAAAGATAATCCAATGATTGAACTACTTAAAGGAATTCCTTGTAATTGGATTGAAGATGACTGTGCTGACTATATTGTGGGTTCCGATATTGGAGTATTGTTTTTATCATTAAAATTTCATAGACAATATCCAAGATATTTAGAAGAAAGAGTTAAAAAATTCCAAGGTAACTTTAAATCAAGAGTTCTTTTAACATTAGTTGATGTCGAAGATCCAGATCTCGCGATTTCAAAGTTAACAAGGACTGCTCAAGGAAGCTATATGACTCTTGTTCTAGCATTCAAATATGATGAAGTTGCACGCTGGTTGATTAGCATGTATAACACTCAAGATGCAATTTCAGATGAACTTAAAGCATCTAATGAAACACCTTTTGAAACAGGCGTTAATTGTTTGCATGCATTGGGATTATCTCGCAGAGAAGCAGAAGAACTTTTAACAACTTATGGCTCAATCTATAAATGCTTAACGACTTCAAAGGAAGAGATCATGAAAACAACATCTCTTAGTGCAAAAAAGGTTGACATGATTTATGAAGCTATAAGATCACAATTTTAAAATATATATTTTATTTTTCTTTCCTGTAGATTGTAAAGTCATATTAACAGGTTGCTTATTGTTACGTAAATAAAAATTTTTATTCCAAATATAGAATTTTGTTTGATATATGTCGGACTTTCTAAATTTGGACTGATGATCTTCCCAATGTTTTCATTAAGAATATTTTTCAATAAAGAATATCTGGATTCAGTATTCACTTAGCTTATTCATTGTGTGTTTAAATATGTAATCGATATTCTTTTAACAGATAATTGTTATACTATGAACAGCCTATTTTCAATGAGTTTGAATCATTTGAATGCATGCCTTGAAAATTATTCCTGATGTGCAAATATTCTCTCATATTGCCAACAATTAATCATTGATACTTGGTCATATGTTTTCTATGCTGCATAGTATGTCTATATTTCATATATGAACAATACTTTTGTATCAAAAAATGATGTCCTGGACGATAGAAAATCGAAAATTCGAAAATCTTCTGTCACAGAAAAAATAAAAATGGCCGAAACACACAGAGGAAAGGCTGCTTTAGCAGAAAGAGAGCCGAAGATTATTGAGAATAGAAAGAAGTCTCTTTTCATCAAAGGAAGAAAGTTCCCTGCCGCTATGCAACAGGTTTGGGATGATCTTGCTCTCTTCAGGTTTGGTGAAATTGTCAAATTCACAAGAGAAAATGATATTGTACCATTCGAAGATGCTTCTCAGATTCAAGAACACTGCAGAAAGAACGATTGCTCTTTATTCACATTCGCAACTACAAATAAGAAGAGACCAAATGATATAATATTTGGCAGACTCTTCAATTACGCACTATTAGACATGTACGAGTTTGGTGTAACTAATATAATTCCTCACAAAGATTTACCTCGAAATGAATTTAAGCATGGTGAGCTTCCAGCACTTATTTTCCAAGGTGACCAGTGGAATAGCGAGCTCAGCTCATTACGTAACTACTTTATGGATTACTTTGTCGGTGATCTTCAAGGTACAGTTGACATTGAACAAGTTGCACACTGTATTGTATTCACATACGTTGAAGCAGACAAGACAATATTATTCCGCCACTACTTAGTCAATACAGAAAAAGATACTCCAGAATTAACTTTAACATCTCCTTGTTTTGACCTTGTTTGCCGTCGTGATATGAAGCCAGATGAAGAAGCATATGAAAATGCTCTTATCAAGGCTCCAGAAGAAAAGAAGAAGAAGAATGTCAAGAAAGACGCTCTTGGTCGTGAACTTGGCCGAGTGTTTGTTGGCAAGAATGATACAACATCACTCACAATGAAGAAGTTCCCTGGCCTTCCAAAGCGTTCAATGAGACAAGCTGTTCAAGATGCAGAACACGATTTAGTGTAAAATTAGAGTTTTTTATTATTGTAGATAGATTATTCATATATAAAATTTTATATTATATACATTTCTCTTATTTTATTTACAAAATTTCATAAATAAATGAATTCATTTGAAATAATTTCATGAAAAAAAATGAGAAATAATAGATACTGATATATTGAATACTCAATGTATAGCTAGATCATATGCTTTTTGCCTACACATTCAGAGTTTTTGGGTTTTAATAAGGGTTCAATCAGGTAACAAAAACGTAAATTGATTTTATAACAACGGGTAAATATAGAGCATGGATAAATATATTATTGCCCTCAGTTGCAAGCTCAAAACTTAAGAATTGGATGAGATAAATTTGTTTATCACTTTTGTGCAATCATGTTATTTTCTTTCATTTCTATCGGCGTGCAAAATTCTCAAAATTTTCATGGGGTTGTAAATCTTATAATAACTAGATGAATAAGGAATAAATCTCAGTATGATGTGCATCATTTTATTAAACACTATATGCATGGCTGGTGGTTCTCTTAACACCTATGAAGATCTATAGTTTTTGAGCAGATAAATTTGATAATTTCCAAAACTCTTATATTTCAAAATTAAAGCGTGCAAATGCATTTAAATGAGAGCAAAAAGAGAATAATGCTGTTAAAACTAGGTGTTAATTTCCAATTATTTCGCCTAATGAATGTACCTTTGTCACAAAATTTCTGTGCAAAATTAGGCTTAGCAAAAATTACTGTAGCATCTCCTAAGTGTAGGAGAAATCTGAAAAAGGGATTTTGAGATTCGCGAAGTAAAATTTATGTGAAAGAAATTGAAATAAAATCTTCAATTGAGTAGGTGCCAAAAGTGCTTACTCTTAAACAACCGTCGGATTTCCGGGTGAAATCGTGACACACTTTCGTCTTTCGTAGGCAGTGGTGGTTGTTACAAAAGGTAACTTCGAATGTAGCGTGAAATCTGCAAAAAAAATTCTGAAATTTGAATGGATAACACAAAAATTGAATAGTTTACGTCAATAAAAAAGAGAAAAATGAAGCCAATATGTCTCGAACTTAGGACTTAGAGCAGCAATCCCACTGTTTATCAAATTACACTACATGCATCTCTCACCTCAGTGAATGAGATCAACTATATGATAACTTTTTCCCCATTATATTCTTGTGGAAAAGTGACAAATAGCAACTTTGACCCTCTCTCATCTTCAATTGCTCATCTAATCATGAGATAAAGAATGAAAAATAAGGTCGATGTGACAATGTTGGAAGTGAATTAGATATATGACTTAGAAAACGATGTAAGCATAAAGTGGATATCGAAATAATGTTGCATTTTAACGTCCTAGAGAAAGAAATAATATAAACATTTTATTTTTACTATACAAGACATTTTTATTGGGTACCAGTTACATTCTTTTTTAATGTCAATTTCATTTCTTCAAGTAATTGAGTCATATCAATATCCATTGCGAAATCAATTTGATTTGCAGCATATTTTCCTGACTTAGTACTGGCCAATTCGTCATGTATCTTATCGCTGTGTTGAATAACAGTTTTTGCGTTCATTTGGAGGTTATTTGAAGCAGCTTCATATTGTGTCCTCTTGTAACGTATTCTGATGCCTTCAACCTTTGATTTGTAGAAGCTTCTGAGGTTCTTCCAGTCATCATTCAAATTTCTAATCAATCTCTCATTAAAAAGCCTTGGTGCTTGCGTAATTACATGTATAATATACTCGTAAACTGTTTTTCCATTGATAACTGCAGCCATTTTGACTAATCTTTTGAAATAGTCCTTAATTTGGTCAAGAGAAGCGCCTTTCTTTACGTAATTTGCATATTCATCAATCATCATTGATTTATATTCATCTGTTAATAGATTCCAAAGGGAAACAACAGATAAATAAACAAATTTTAATCTTTGAGCGAATTGGTCATCGCGAATATAAAAATCTGCATCAGTTTCAGCTAGTCCTATTCCATAATTAAATATTCCCATAAATAATTGGCCTTTTTCATAAATTTCTTGTTTCACTTCCGAAATATCATAAAATTCAATGTTTTGGCTACTCAAAAAGCTGGATATGTTTTTATCTGCATCATCTATGATGAAGAACTCCTTTGCCTGGTATTTTGAAATTTTTTCTTGTAATTCATCAAAATTATTGCATAAAGTATAAATATTTGATTCGAGATGTTGTGATTTCTTATTAAAGCATACTTCTAGTCCATCAATAACAGCAATAACAGGATCATCTAAACATTCAAATTCTGAGCGACATATAATTGAAATAGCAAATAGCTGGTACTTTCTACTGTAAATTGGCTTTGGTATTTTTTCAATATATACAATGATATTCGTTAAATTGGCATCCATGTTAACAATTTTGCTTCTTTCTAAAATAGAATTGAGAGGAACGTGCTGGTCTAATGCAAGGTATGAAAGAAATTCGTCTCTTAATGTATGATGAATTAAAATATTTGGATTTTCTGGATCTTCTTCAAAAGGAAGATAAGGAACACGTATAATATCGCCTGGTTGAAATAAATCGGGGTTATTATTGTCAAGTTCGCTTCTTGGTTTATATGGTTTGACAGATTCAATATTTTCGCCATATCTCAATGGCCTTTCGGCAGCAGGCTCATACGAGTCTCGGTAATTTAAGAATGGAGAGTATACTTCTTCTTCATCTTCATTTTGATTTTCATTTTCAGAATTTTCTTGATTTAATTGCTTATCATTTGAATCCCCTTGTTGAGTAGAATTGTCATTTGAAGAATTTGTGATGTTATCTTTTATATCATTGGTATTTTCCTTATTTTCATTCATAAAATTTCCTTTAAATTTATCGGTGCTTCACGCCGATAGTTGAAAAGTATGACATAATAAATGATGTGATATATGCATCATATATAGAACTAATAAGACTGATATTCTTCAACCGACTGGCACTAGCCAGACATATTATAGAAACACTCCAAGTTGTTGTTTAAAAAAGTGAATAATAAAATATAATTTTTAGAAAAGTAAAAAGAATGAGCTAGGTTGTTTTTTTATTCGAAAATTATCGTTTGTACCCTAATTTTTGTTTAAATAATTAGATTGCAAAGAGAGAAGATATTCTCTAATTTGGTTGTTACATGAAATACTTAGTGCAGTTTTTCCATCATTAGTTGCTGCTTCTTTATTAGCTCCAACAGATATAAGATATTTAACGACTTCAAGATGACCGCCTTTTGATGCCAAAATGAGTGATGTATATCCATTTTTATCTTTAGCTTCTTTGTTGACTCCAATTGTGATAAGATATTTAACAACTTCAAGTTTGCCATGCTCTGAAGCACGCATGAGAGGCGTATAGTCATCATGAGTCTTGGTTTCTTTATCAGCTCCAATAGAGATAAGATATTCAGCAACATTAAGATGAACACTTTCTAATGCACAAAACAGTGATGAATAACCAAAATTGGTCTTAGCTTCAACATCAAAACCAACAGAAATAAGATATTTAACGACCTCAAGATGGCCGTTTTTTGATGCTAAAATGAGTGGCGTATATCCATATTTATCTTTTGCATCTTTATCAGCTCCGATAGAAAGAAGATATTTAACAACTTCAAGATGACCTCCTCCAGATGCCAGAATAAGTGGAGTATATTTATCATTAGTTCTGGCTTCTTTATTAGCTCCAATAGATATAAGATATTTAACGATTTCGAGGTGACCTCCTTTTGATGCAAACATGAGTGGAGTCCAGTCATATTTATTCTTTGCTTCCTTATCAGCTCCATTTGAAATAAGATATTGAACAATTTCAAGTTTGCCATTTTCTGAAGTTCTCATGAGTGGAGTGCATCCGTTATAAATCCTTGCTTCTTTATCAGCTCCAACAGAGATTAGATATTTAGCAACTTCAAGATGACCATTTTCTAATGCACATATAAGTGGTGTATATCCATAATTGGTCTTTGCTTCAATATCTATACCAGAAGAAATTAAATATTTAACAACATCAAGATGACAGTATTTTGATGCTGAAATAAGCGATGTGTTTCCATTTTTATCCTTTGCTTCCTTATCAGCATCAATTGAGATGAGATATTGAACAACATCAAGTAAACCATTCTCTGATGAAACAATAAGTGCAGTTTTTCCATCGCTTTCTTTTGCTTCTTTATCAGCTCCAACAGAGATAAGATATTTAACAATTTCGAGACATCCTCCTTTCGATGCCAAAATGAGTGGTGTAGATCCGTTTTTATCCTTCACTTCTTTATCAGCACCAATTGAAATAAGATATTTAACGATTTCATTATGGCAAAATTTAATGGCTAATGTGAGAGGAGTCCAACCATTTTTAGTTTTTGTCTCTTTATCACATCCACATTCAATGAGTGATTTCACAAGTCTTAGATTATCTTTTTCTGTTGCAACATGAAGAACATTCTTTTCATCATCCCAATTAGATTTTTTAGAAACTATCTTTTTCCAAAGTCCTTCTTCACATGCTTTTGAAATCATTTTTTGATCTCCTTGAAATGAAAGTTTATCAAGGAAGTTGTAAATATTTTCAAAATCATCAGAATTTTTAAGTTCTGAAATTTTTGTCAGAATTTCTTTTTCACTTCCTAATTCTTCATTAATTTGTTTGGATTGAGAATGAAGTGATTGTTTTTCTTTGTCACTTTTTTGGATTTCGGATAATCTTGCTTGAAGATTTTGGATTTTCGCTGTAGAATCAAGCGCTTCTTTCTCTTTATGATCTAGAATTTCAATAATTTTATCAAGTATTCCTAATTTCATGTAATTTTTGATTGATTTCAGTATTGAAATGGCTTCTTCATAGTTTTGGATATAAAGATTAGTATTTCTAGCACACTTATATACTTCACTTGCTTTGACTGTATGATTTGACTGTTCAAGAAGACTAATATAATCGTTTGCGTTTAAATTAGAAATTTTCAAGATATTTTCGATATCTTCTATCTCGAATATGCTAAAAATATTGTTTTCATTAATATACTCCGTGATGTGAGCCGCAATATAATCAAAATTCTGAGAGAGACTCATGCGAACTTTGAAATTTTTTTTAATTTTCGATTTGAATTTGTAGTCGTAAATTTTGGAAAATCAATATTTGATTGATATTTAGTGAAAATTATGCGCTTTAATGAAAATAATACATTTCCGCATTTAATCCAAAGTTGTGGTTGATCAAGATTATTACGACTTTAATTTCAGTAAGTCTTATTCAGAATTTTCAATATACCTTGTCCTACATCAAATATCAAATTGACTTTATCGATCAAAATCCAAAACTTCCATGAAAATCATGTTAATAAGAACTTCACATCAAATGTATTCATTTCTCTTCTTATCCAATCCTATTTTGATGACCTAAGTTCTTACAAGCAATAAATTATGTCCAAGTTTGAAGAAATTTATAGATTATGTTAAATATATGCAATAAAATGTATATTTCTGAAAAATCATCACGTTAATCATCTTAGAAAATGAATGAAGACATGTATTTTCTTAACATATACTCAATGCATATGAAATGATTAGTTATTCGTAATTAATAAAAACAGACGATAGTCTTAATACATTAAAATGCTTAGAAAGTTATAAAAATAAACAATAATAGAGTTATTTTTATATCAAAAATAAAAAATTTACATAAATATACATTTTTCGCCGTTAATTAGTCAGTTTTTTGCTTGTTTTCTGTTTCTGTGTTTTGTTTTCTCTTCTTTAGCCTTAATCTATACTTGCATCTGAGATTATTGCAACAGAACAGAATATAGAAGAATCTTCTGACTGATTTATAATTGACCACTAATATAAGGAATATTGTAGCAAGCATTAATACAATAATCCAGAAAATATAAGGAAATCCAACTTGATCTATGATATTTGGCAACTTTGAGCGGAAAATTGATAAAATATTCCATACATCTACCTCATCTACTAATATTTCTTGGCTTTTTGGCCTGGAAAACGTATTCATGAGTAATAATAATTCTCCAGAGTTCATATTAATGAAAGGGCCAACGTTATTACTCGAATACGAAGAGAATATAGCTATTGATCCATTAAAAGCTGATATAAAACCAACGCTATGAGTAGATGATGAAACAGCAACTTTAGAAAAGAAGCCAAGGGTTCCGTAACCTGTTGCAATGGAACTGACATCAACAGAATTCCTGGAAAATACAAGATCATGGAAGAAAAGTCGTGATTCTCCTTCTCTCATGTCAATAATATTTCTTCCGTGGTTTCCTATGAATCTCGTATTGGTGTGCACAAATAAATCACCACCAGGATGATATATCAGGGTGGAATTCGGTGAAAAATTGTTTATAAATGATGTATTTGAAATTTCTATGTAAGATTTATTGGACATTTCAAGAATTACGCCTCTATTACCCTTGAATGTCGTTTCTAGTATAGAGAGGTTGCAATTTCCTTCGCATAGTAGGAATTCTGAGTGGTAATTTCGTTCGATTGTTGTATTATGGAACATTGTTGCGGTTCTGTAGTCAGAAAGTATGAGAGGAGCATCATTCACACTATTATCTCTTATAAAAGAGTCATTGCAAATGATTCCTGAGTTGAGCATTCGAATTAAAGGATCATTATTAATTCCAAATGCGTAATTTCTTTCGAAAACGAGGTTGGAAGTATTTAATTCTGATGTAGATAGAAACATTAAACTTGAATAGTTAGCAGTATTCTCATAAATTTGCCAATTAGTTAAATTTACTATTGATGCTGTAAATAAGACCATTCCGAAGTCGGTTTCAACATAGTTGTTGCATAGGGTGATGTTTGAAAATGTTGAATTATGAACTGAGCTTGCAACTAAAATTGGATATGAAAATCTGGTGAAAGTGAAACCACCAAAATTCCAATTTAATTTCTCTCGTATGACTATGTAAAAATCAAGTGGTTTAGCTCCAAATTTTGATCCGTTAATGATAGTATTTGATCCGAAAATGCTGACATTGCGATTTACTAAGAATTGAGCAAACCCAAAGAATTCATAGACTTGCTTGCTCGCACCATAGTATTTATCTGTTATAATTACTGTATCATTCTCTTGCACTTTATCACAAATCGTTTGATAGTCACATGTGCGAGATTCTGAACAATTATCATTTCTGTCACCAATTCTAGAAGCATAATACGTATGCTTTGTGCTGTAAGTACTGTAAAATAAAAAGGAAATCATTTTTAAATTATTTTTTGACAAGTAAAGTTTTGTAATTTGTATTTTTGTCAAAAATTAAATGAAAGGTAATAAAAATGGTAAAATTCTTTTTGATCTTCCAGAAGAACAGCAGAAAGACCTTGCAACCATCTTAGAAGACTTCTTTCGGTTTAAAAATTCAAATTACACAACTTCGTTCTATAATATGTTGAAAATATTGTCTTTTCTAACATACGACAAATACAAAGATTTTCTTAAGATACAAGTAGGGCGATATATCGTTGAAAAATGGGATACTTACAAAGAAGAAAACCTTTTTAAACATTTCGAAGAAATTTTAAATAGTTCTCATATATACAAATACCATTATACTGCTTTATTACTGTTACTTACCCATCCTGATGCAGTACAACCATTTTTATACAGATTTAATAAGCATTCACTAGGAGATAGTTCAATTCTATCTCTTTTTGTCAAAACAGTCATTGAAATGTTGAATAACTACGAATTTGACCTCCAACAATCCGGATATCAAGGAAATCCAGCAGAATCATTATATCTTAATCATTTAATTGAAGTTTTAACATGTATATTTGTTAATCAATGGAAAGAATCAAATGTGTTTCTACATAATATATTTTTCAAGGAGGTTCTTCGTCCAATTGTCGAATTTTTATTAAGATTTGATTGTCACAAAAAAATTCAAGACATCATAGAAAGAATCTTCCAAGAAAATTATTTACCATACGATGATTACAGTTTACAAGACCAGCCATTGAACTACGATCTCTATATGAATTATTTAATTCATTATTCAATTATTAACGACAAAAGTTGCAGATATCTTCTAGAAAACAGATTAGAAGCATATAAGAGTGATTTTCATCTCAATGGTGAAGAACAAATAATCAATTCTTACTCTGAAAATCTGAATCCGAAAGATATCCAAGAATTTTGGAACATTGTTAAAGCAGCAAGATATTATGATCAAATACATGGTGTGCCACTTATGATTTCCATATTTAACTTCTTTAAGCAATATGATTATATTGAATATTGTTGGGATTATGAAGATATATTTTTTGAGGCCATAATTATATCAATGAGATATGAAGAATCATGGCAACTATATCACAATAACTATAATGAGTTCATTTCTAGAAATTTAACTCAATATTTGAAAGAAGAAAACTTTCCTAAGTTTGAAATACTCAGAAGTTTCAAGAATCGTATGTGTATGTTCCAATACCCTGTTGCAAGTGCAGAAACATCAAGTTTGATCATAAAAGAGATTGATTCTATAATTAAAAAGAATATTACATTGTTTAGTGAACTCAATAACCATTATGAAGCGTTAAAGAATGAAATGGAACCTAGAAACGAAGATGATCCTTTCATCGAAAAACAAATTTCATTATTTTTCTAATTTTTCCTTTTAATTGTTTTTAAACTATCTGTATACAGCATATTTCTTTTTTGACCAGCTAGTATACTTGTATTCTTTTTGTTTCAACAAATTGACTTAATTTTTTTGAGTCTAATGCGGTATTCTCTTTCAAAATCAGCAATATAGTTTGAAGATAATTAAAAGCATCATGAACACTGTAATTGGGACTCATAATGAGTTTAATTCCAATATGAATGAAATTATCTTGAAGATCCCTTGGTAATTTAGAAAAGATCAGCCATAGATATACGTATCTGCTTCGATTTCTATAATTTTCTCTGTCAATTTTGATGCGTCATTACATGTCAAATGACACCGACTATCGGCAAAAAATCATTCAAATTGGAAATTCAAGAAGAAATTCATATGACTGATGTTAAATAAAGAATGAGTAAAAATCATTTTTGAATATAAATCTTACAACTATTCAAAATAATCTGCTTTCTATTCAAAAAATATTTGAAATCTTTGGCACCATTTTATGGAAGTTGATGCCGATTTTGGAAAGACAAAAAGATATTTATATATGTTTGGTGCAATGTTCGGTAGTTTGGCAAGTTATTATCTTAGAAACTTATTCTACACTCGATATTCCAGAATTAAAAAGGGTTGTCCTGAAGTAATATTCGATAAACCATGGATAGGAACATTAATGATGGCTATTGGAATGTCTCTTTCCATTGTAATTTATTATATTCAAGTCCGTTGCGATCCAAAAAATCATACAAAAATTTCTAAAACACCTAGATATATTGTTTTACTCTGTATACTTCCAGGCTTATTAGATCTGTTGTATTCTGCTTTCTATTCTTTTTCCATTGTTGCAATTACAGGTTCAACATCTATATCTTTAAGATATTTCGATTTTCTCTTTGTTATTATTATTCAAAATGTATTTTTATCTACTATTAATTATGCTTATCAATGGGTCTCATTAGGAATTGTTGCAATAGGAATAATTCTTGTAAGTTGTAGTGTTGTATTAGGCTCTGAAATCAAACTACAATTGTTACCTACTGTACTACAAGTATTGGCACAATTATGCTTTTCAATTCGAACTTTAATTTTACAGAAAATGCTGCATGAAAATGACGTTTCTAACTGGCTTTTAACAGGTATCAGTGGATCATATGAAGTAATAATGATATTATTCGGATTTTATCCAATTTCATATATATTACCTGAAAAAACTTTCTCTTCTTTGCATGAGGACTTTTGTCTTTCATGGAAACTGACTACTAGTTCCTTATCAATCATTATTTTGTTTATTGTATATATTCCTATTACATGTTTATATAATTCATCAGTTGTTGGTACAATTATGACAACAAATGGTGTCGGATATACCCTTGTTGAAATGATTAGTGGTTCTATTGGTTGGGTTATTGATCTAATCATTTATCACTTCTTTAAAGGAAGATTTATTTTGAAATCCCATACAAAGTTTGGTGTGAACTGGAATTCGTATAGTTACTTAAGGTTAATCGGATCACTCACATTCTTACTTGGAGGAGTGATATACCTGAAGATAATTAAATTTCCATGCTTTAAATATCCAAGTCCGTCTGTTAGACGCATTACAATTGATCAATCAACTGGAAATGCTTACCCAGCTGAAGTCAAACTCGAAGTATGAGCATTGTTTTTTCTAAAATGAATAAAGATATATGTATTTAGTCGGGATTCACGTATAGATTTTCTTATTCAAAGAAAAATTGGATGGAAATATAATGGTAATTGCATCGGGAAGGATGAATTTTATCAATTTAAATTTGATTAGGGGATTTGCTTTTCTTATAAGATTCTAATATCAAAAATATTGATTTTAATAAAATTTATCCTAGTTGATCCTCATCAAACTTGAGAAAACAAGTGATTTCAATAAAAATATTTTACATTTGTTGTTATTATTGGGTCATATTTGATGCAGTATTGTATATTTAAGTGAAAAGTATATTGAAAGTCTTATTCTTAGATATTTTTAGAAATAAAAATATGAAATTTTGAAAATTCTAATTTTATTTAATAAGAAACATAAAAACACAATATAAATTTTATGGACACAATTTTGAAGTGTAACATAATGTATTTGAAGACATTTTCGTCGCAAAGAAATTGAAAAAGTTTTTGATCATTTGGTAATCATTAGCTTTGGCCATGTCACATGTCATGTCTTCCATTCTAAGTGTGTTTGTGCAAATATCATCCCAAATCGTCGACATCATGCTGATGGTGAAATTATCCTTTCCGGCGCCTGTCATGTAATTCAGAACCGCTTTACATTTCGAACAATTTACATTGACACAGCCGACTCCGAAAGCGTGGCAAATCGTAAGATGTGCACATCCTGAGTAACTTGAGCAATTGTAGCCTCTACTGCATTGTTTAATTGGTGCTGAGCATTGCCCCCAAAATGTTTTATTGTTTTTGTAAAGAGATTCGTAATCAACAACTTTTACTTCATTTCTAGGGGTTTTAGCTGGCTTTGGGGTTCTTGTTGGACCTTTTATTCTTTTCCCTTTCTTATTATATATAACTGGACGAGCTGTTGTATTTGTTTTGTTGTCTAATGCGAGAGATTCAAGTTCTGAATGATTTGGCCTGCAGTAACCTAAAGTTTTACAAATAGAACTTGTTCCAAAATTACGTGATATCAAAGAATCAATTGAATCTCTTTGTTTATAAATTTCTTGATCGATATCAAATGAAAAATCAAAGTTTGTAGCAGACCATGAGTATGCCCTTACTGTGTCAATGATATCTGTACAGTCATTACAGTCGTTCTTTTCAATCTTTTCATTTTCTCTTTGAATTGGTAGACATCTATCATATAATTCGCAAATTTGTCGATTATCCATACTATTTAAGAAGTATTCTGATAAATTAACAAATGATTTGGCGTTTTTTGAACAAATTTCTTTTTCATCTTTGAATTTACTGCAAAATTGTTTACGAATCTGTTTTGTTTGACCGAAAGAATGAACCCCCGTCCTCTGTATTGATTTCATGCATCGTGCACAGTCAATTTCTGATAAATACGCTATTAAGAAAATTATCATCTGTCACTTTTGACAAAAATGTGACAATGGACCCAAAGAGTGAAGCGATCAGAAATGCATGGCAATACTTGAGATACGGCAACTATGATGAATTTCAGAACATATATGAGAAGAATTCTCAATACATGGGGCCTGATTCATACATTACCGAAGAAGGTGTTGAGCAACAAACTTTTTTAATGATTGCTGCCTACTCAAACTCGAAAAATGCATTGGAATACTTAGTTGGTAAAGGAGCAAATGTAGAAGCTCGCAATTTTAATGGATACAGCGCTTTACATTTTGCAGCTCAATCTGGAGCAATGGACGCTATTACGTTTTTAGCTAACTTACCAGAAAATAAAGGTTCAACAGACTCACGAAATCAACGTAAAATAAATATAGATTGCCGAACTACTGATGGAAAAACGCCTTTGTTTATTGCTGCCAGCCGTGGACACATAGAAGCAGTAAATTACTTACTCTCTATGGGTGCTGAGGTTGATGCATCAGATAGCGAAGGTTATACACCATTAATGGCTGCTTTGATTGGAAATCATAAAAAAGTTGTTGAAACATTAGTTGCTAAGAATGCGGAAGTATTCCACATGACTGCTAATAAGCTAACACCTAGTATAATAGCAACAGAATACAAAAGAACTTGGTTCAAGGAAAAATATATTCATTAAACATGTTTTATTTTTAATTTTATTAAATGAAACTTTCACTTTTGTCATTCGCTACAATATAAAGATGTTTCCATTAGATATTCATATCAAATATTTCAATATAAGCAAAATTCAACAAAATATTCTTTGTCATAGAGATGTCCATGGCATAGCTCTATGCTGAGCCACATTTCACTATTTTAGATAACTATAATACCAATTAATGATACCAATTGTATGTGTCGTTGCTTCATACGAGATAAAGCAGGAACTCTTGCAAGAAAAGCTTGCCAGTAAGTTTATCAAAGCTACTCTTGTGTGAAAATAGAAAATGTAATATAGATATCAAGTTTTATTATAGAGAATGACTGAGTTATTTTTTTCTAAAAATTTTTTTCTTGAAACCTTTGTCACTTTTTGTAACAATTTCAAAAAAACAAAAAAATGAATGATGGCGATCTAAAGAAGTTCATTGGTATATTAGAAAAAGGTGAAAAGATTCCAGAATCAGACGTAGTTATGTTACTCACTATGATCATGCAAGAACTTTATAGCGAATCTAACGTTTTATTATTAGATTCTCCTATTGTTATTGTTGGTGATATTCACGGCCAGTTAGATGATATGCTCTATATGTTTGAAGTTGCTGGTGACAATCCAGAGCAAAAATATCTCTTTATGGGAGATTTTGTTGATAGAGGCTACCACTCACTCAATACATTTCTTCTTCTTGTTGCCAAGAAACTCCTATACAGAGGAAAGTACTATTTACTACGAGGAAATCATGAATCAAGGCAAGTTTCACAAATGTATGGTTTTTACAATGAATGCTTAATGCTTTATGGCAATGCAGGCATATGGACTCTTTGCAATGATGTATTTGACCTCCTTCCAATGGCTGCTATCATAGATAATGAGGTTTTCAGCGTTCATGGAGGATTATCACCTGAACTACCTCTTATTGAGCAAATTAACTCAATAAACAGACAAAACGAACTCGGCTCTACAGGCCCTTTAGGCGATCTTTGCTGGAGTGACCCAGATACGATACAATTTTGGCGTCAGAACCAACGTGGAGCTGGATATATATTCGGCGAAGACCAAACAAAGGAGTTTTTGCATACAAACGGTCTCAGCCTCATTACAAGGTCTCATCAGCTTGTTATGGAAGGATGCAAGTGGTATTTCGATAATCAATTAATTACTGTTTGGTCGGCTCCAAATTACGGTTACAGATCTGGAAATATCGCTTCTGTAATGAAATACGGTTTCGATCCAGCCGAAATGAGAAAATTAATATTCTTTGACCCTGCAAAGAACAGAATTACTCCAACTGAAGAGAACAAAGTTTCAAATTATTTTGCTTAATTCAAATTTTTAATTTTAATTTTTGAATTTAATAAAAATTGTTTGTTTCTGTATATTGGAATCAATTGCAATCGTTTTTAAGATTATCTCAATACGTCAATATTGATAGCTTTTTGAATTGAATATATATTTTGAAATTTAAAGTTTATTATTCAAAATACATAGCATAGCCTAAGATAGCTGGTGCAATATGTATCAAAACTAAGTAGAAAATTCATTATTTCATCATGTTTACTTCTCCTCTATCAACTCGACAAGCTGAGATATATAGAGATGGCACTTCTTCAGCTAGGAGGAGATTTTTACTTGGTGAAAAGAGGCCTCCTTTCGAACTTAGACTTGAAACTTTGTTCGATTTGGAAGAAAATGTAACTGATTACGCATCAATTTCAGGTGCTTCTGTCAAAGTAATCGGAAAGTCTACATTAATTCATTCATATATACCTGACCATCCAATCAAATTGACCTCACCTGTTATGATTATTAAACCTATTATAGATACTTCCCATTTTATTATGATAGATGAAAAATTATCGGCTTACATTATATGTCCTACTGGAAAAGTTGTACCAATCCCAAATACTACAACATTCCATCAATCTGGTGTACATTATGCTTTTATTAACAACAAATTATTAATTTTCATATCGACAAACGTATGTACAATTAAAATCTTCGAAGTTACACCAGCAGGTCACTCCATAAGAATTAATTTGAAACAAGAATGGGAAAACGTTTTGCCAAACAACTCATGTATTACAACATTTCAATACGGTGATCAATGGTATATAGCAGCGTCTGATTTTATTGAAGCCTATTTCGCCCAATTCGATCCAGAAACTTTTAATCCTCCTAAATTTTATCCAATTGCCACAGTAATCAAATTATACTTAAACAAATCGCAGATGATTCTACAATTTGTTTATTCTAACTCAACACACATTGTTTGGATTAGATTTGATATGATTTTGATTATTCCTATTTCTTCATTAGTTACTAGAACAACTACAGCACGCACAATATCTATACCTATGAAGCAAATCACTCAAATCATCAAAACTCAAACAACCGATCTTTTTACCACAAAAAGTTTAATTCCTGTTGTTATTACAAAACGCCATGTTGTTTTGGTCACTTACTACTCTCCATCATCTCCTCGTGAGGTCGATACCATTATTGGAGTTTGTTTGGAAAACGGAGAAATTGCAAGTGTCAAAAACTTGAATTTTATTAATCCAAAGTCGATATACCAAGGTCCAACGAAAACCACCTTTACAATTATTGCTAAACAAGGTGCTTTTTACGTTGATTTTTCTAATGAATCTTCACCAACAACAGTCAAATCAGTAAACCTTTTGAAAAGCCCTGCAATTGAGAGATACGAACCAAACACTTATGTTTCTGCAGCTGAAATTCTTCTTACATTGTTGGATTCTAACAGAATGACAAATGTCTCAAAAATGATAGCGAAAATCATGCAATCTAAAAATTGTACGCCACAACAATTGATTGTATTACAATATTTGATAGACGAAATCGATATTTTGAGTGCTTGTTCTCGAAATAATTTGAATATCAATTATATACCAAAGAGATTCATTGAAAACTGTACAGTTGACTATCTCCAGAAGGTTCTTTATGCATTGACAATGCGTGCTTTCTCTCCTGCTGTTGAATCAGTTCTAAATCCAAAATTTAATGAAAATTGGTCGGATACACCTACAGCAATTCGCTTAGATATCAAATCAAAACATTTTACAGAAGCAATTCCAAAGATTCTTTCTATGAAAGCGGAAATTTTCCTTCCAGAAATTTGTATAAAGTCACCAATGACATTTGTTTCATCTTTATTACAATGGACAACGACCAACCAATTATTCGCATCACGAATTATCCCAACTACGTTCCCTTTTATCGTTCAGAGAATTGGAAGAGATAATTTGTTAGATTTACTGAGATTTAGCTTCTCTTTAGGCGACCACAAAGCTACATCTTTTGTTCTATGGGCATTATCCCTTGAACATGGCTGCCAAACTTTAGATGACGAAGTATCAAATTTGATTCAGCACTATCGAGTGAGTTTTGCTGATTTTCTCATGTTGCATGATTGTTTAGTACGTGCACACATGCCTAAATCCGCAGAAAACATCATGCAAACCATTCAAAATAAATCAGATATAATCGGAAAAGTTTCTGAAACAGTATCTATCGAAGATTTATCACATATTAAGGTAGAAGAAGTTGTTTCACAGCTTGAGGATGTCCTTCAGTCTGTCATGAAGTGCACACAGAAGGCAGGGGGAGATGCAAGAATAATTGAAAAAGAAAATTTGGTTGAAATTCCTGATTTTCAGCCTTCTTCGCAATGCTCTATCTGCGGAAGGAAATCAGGCAGAGGAAATGTTTATTCCTTCCCTTGTGGGCATTCATTTGATGAAATCTGTTTGATCAAACAGATGGAAGATGTTTTGGATGGAGAAGAACTTTCGCGATTGAAATATCTCGTGAAGAATGGTGATTATCGAGAAGAATTTGAAGATATTTTGTCACAGGACTGTCCTCTTTGCGGTCTATTGTCTACAAACTTGATTAACAAGCCTTTGTCTTGGAAATCTTACAACTTTGACATTTAGTTTTTATTTATTTGTTTTAAAAAAGTTTGTTTTATTAGGAAATTTTTTTTAACTTTACATTTACCACTTTTTTACACAATCTCAAATTTCCTGTTTAAATTCAATCTGCACCAATATAAAAGGTCTGTGCGGTTATCCTCAATTTGGCGTAGATTGAACTGCGTCGATTCTCTCAATTGCTCTATCTTTTATTAGGCGAGTTTTTTTTATTTTTTATTTTTTTTAAGGCTGCACTTACGCCTATCTGACTTTAAATCAAATTTTTGACAACTGGTGTGAAGCGTCATTGAAAATCAACCTTAAACATCTGAATTGAATGTCATTTCATAGAGGCGTAAGTGCACCCTTAAGGTTTCTCTCTGATGTGAACTAATACTCTCGATTCTTGCTTCGAACTCAAGGTACCAAGATCCTTATTTAGACAGTTCCATGGGACATTAAATGTTTGATACCGTTATCTGATCTTTGGAGATGTGATATTGCACATAATTCAAATTGAGAGTATGTAGAAAAGTTGTAAATACATCTTTTATGGGTGAAATAATTTAAGATTTATTCTTTAAAAATTGTTGTTTGCGCTGAAATATGAAATAAGAAATTCAGTTATTGGATGTCAAATAATCTCTAACATTGTTTTTTGCAACGTCGAATACGGTTCTTCCTTGATTATCCTTTGCTTCTTTATTAGCTCCAACTGAGATAAGATATTTAACTGTTTCAAGTTCACCTCTAATTGATGCATGAATGAGTGGAGTACATCCTTTATTATCCTTTGCTTCAATATCAAATCCAACAGAGATAAGATATTTAACAGTTTCAAGACGGCCAAAATGTGATGCTCAAATGAGTGGAGTATTTCCCCATTGATCTTTTGCTTCTTTATCAGCTCCAATAGAGATAAGGTATTTAATAATTTCATGTTTACCTGAATTTGATGCCTGAATGAGTGGAGTACATCCATTACTATCCTTTGCTTCTTTATCAGCTCCAATAGAGATCAGATATTTTACAACTTCAAGATGACCTTCTCTTGATGCACAAATGAGTGGAGTAAAATCATAATAACTTCTTGTTTCTTTATCACAGCCACATTCAATGAGAGATTTGACAAGTTTAAGATTTCCTTTTTTACATGCTTCATGAAGCACATTCCGACTTTCATCATATTTAGAATCCTTAGGAGTCATTTTTTTCCAAAGTCCTTCTTCACATGCTTTTGAAATAATAGTTTGATTCCCTTGAGATGAAAGTTCTTCAAAGAAATTATAGATACTTTCGAAATCATCTGATTTCTTGAGTTCTGAAATTTTTTCTAAGAATGCTTCTTGATTAGTTGTTTCATTGATTTGATTGAGTTGTGATTGAAGAGATTTTATTTCATTGTCACTTTTTTGTTTTTGTTTTTGAATTTTGTTTAGCTCTGTTTGAAGTTTTTGGATTTTCTCTGTAGAATCAGACATTTCTTTCGCTTTTTGATCTAAAAAGTCAATAATGCCATTAAGTATTCCCAGTTTCATGTACTTTTTGACTGATTTCAGTGTTGAAATGACATCTTCAAAGCTTTGAATATGAATATTAGTATTTCGAGTGCAGATATATAATTCATTTGCTTTGATAGTATGGTGCGACTGTTCAATAAGAGTAACAAAGTCGTTTGCTGTAAAATTTGAATTTTTCATGATCTTTTTGATGTCTTCGATTTCAAATATATAAAAGAAATTACCTTCTTTAATGTAATCACTGATACGAGAAGCAATATCTTCATAATTCTGAATAATATCTTTACTCATCGAAATGAGAAGTGGTAATTTTACAAAAAATTAAGTTTCTCCAAATTCAAGAAAATAAAGGGTTCCTTTTCGGGTATGTTTAATCTAAATGATTCTTATTTTATTTATTCATACCAAAAAATTGAAAAGTTTATAAATCAGCCTTCGTCAATGAGTAGGTGCCAAAAGTGCATACTCTTAAACAACCGTCGGATTTCCGGGTGAAATCGTGACACACTTTCGTCTTTCGTAGGCAGTGGTGGTTGTTACAAAAGGTAACTTCGAATGTAGCGTGAAATCTGCAAAAAAAATTCTGAAATTTGAATGGAGAACACAAAAATTGAATAGTTTACGTCAATAAAAAAGAGAAAAATGAAGCCAATGTGTCTCGAACCTAGGACTTAGAGCAGCAATCCCACTGTTTATAACATTACACTACATGCATCTCTCACCTCAGTGAATGAGATCAACTATATGATAACTTTTTCCCCATTATATTCTTGTGGAAAAGTGACAAATAGCAACTTTGACCCTCTCTCCTTCGTCAATGATGAATATTGATATCATTTGACTCAAGAAAACTTGAACAATGAAAGTAAAACCATCCATCATAGCTATGTTATATCAAAATAGCTCTTGAGTTATTCAGATAATAATCTAATACAAAATCTGGCAATTACTCAAAATTGCGTCATAATGTAAATTCACAAAAAAACCTTATCAATAATGTTTTTGTATTCTCTGTTATATTCCGAATTATCTGGATCACATCCTGATGCAGATAAGAAATCAGGTCTTACTTATATGAGATTCTCTCCCGAATTACAATTGGCAAAATTACCATATCTTAGCCTTGCAAATTATACAGAGCATTACACGCAATTCGGTTATATTCATCCTGGTGGAAACAAACCAAAGTCAGACTACAATACAATTATCTTAGCAGGTACATATTTAAGCAATGAAACAATGAATGTCACTTTTAGACTTATTTCTCAACCAAAAGGAGCGGCGCTTTTATTTGATGGCAAGTTCATTATTAACAATGCCACATTACCAACAAAAATTTGTGAAAATCCATCAGCAGAATCAGAAGCTTTCTCTGAAATACAAACAATTTATAAGAACAGATATCATCAGATTACAATTTTCCACAATGCTGGATGCTTCAATGACTTCAGAAAAGTAGAATTAACTGTCAAATTCCCGAATTCAACCAGATACGTAAATCTTCCAACAGAAAGCATCTTCACCTTCCTTACATCCGAGTGTGCAGAGAACTACTATGGTCCAACATGCTCAGGCGACTGCACATTCTCAAATTGTTCAAATAATGGCCGCTGTCTTGATGGTCAATCAGGTGATGGCAAGTGCGATTGCATTTCCGGCTGGATTGGACCAACCTGTTCCGATATTTGCCATGCAGAAATACAATGCCACAATCATGGCAGATGTTTAGGCAATGGCCAGTGCATGTGCCACACAGGATGGAGTGGTTCAGATTGTTTAACACCCGTTGATGCCAATATACAGTCCAGAATGATCGTAGGAATTGTTTTTTACTCGGCATGTGGATTATGTTTCTTAATTTCCTTTATTTTCCAACTCTGCAAGATGGAGAACTCCAATCCACTTACTCACATCCTGTTATTCGTGTTCTTGGCCCTTAAAGTCGGTTCCGCCGTATTTGTATTCATAAATAAGAAGTACACAGACATTTCTGACATGTTATTCCTACTTCCTACAGCCATATTAGCGTTCTGTTTGTTACGATCAATATCTCTGATCAAGAATCAGTTCATGAGCACTTCACCTCACTTCAAATATCTTTTATTGTCATATTCCTTGTATATTATACCATTACTCATTCTTATTATCTCAATTTTGTGTCCTCTCATGTGGCAGAAACTGTTATTATACACAGTTGCAATTCCTTTCGGAATTTTGTCACTTTTTGTCTTAATTTTCTCAGTTATTACGATGTTTATTGGAATGTCCGGACCATTTGAGAAAATGGAAGACTTATTCCCACATTTAGCCTACGAATTGAGATCCAGCAGAAGATACGTGATGTGTGCAAGTATTTTCTATTTAGTTGATGCAGTTTTGTCATGGTATGCAATTGATGGTCCTGACCATAATTTTATCGTTATTGACTTCACTTATTATGCATTGATATATGTTGACATTTTTACGATTACTTGTATTGGATTGGCCAATTCTGCAGCTTTGAGTGATATTTTCAGTGTTAAAGGTGATGATATACAATTTATTCCTGCGGGAATTGCTTCTGTTACTGATTTGGAAGAGAATGAAACAATGTCTGCATTTTCTGTAACAGATGGTAGTGATTTATCAAGTCGGCCTTTGTATTCTGTTGCTCCTGGTGTTTATAAAGATGCAGAAAACAAATTTAAGCGTGGAGGATTATGTAGAAAATGTTTGAAACTTTTGGCTTTGTTTATTATTATTCCTATAGCCATTGTTGTTGTTTTCTTGGTCGTAGTTCATCCAAGTAATCCACAATGGTCATTAGTCAGTGTTTTGTATGACAACAGTCAGTTTTTCAATGACACAATTTCATTTTTGCCGAATATAACAATTAAAAACAAAATGAAAGTGTCAATGAATATAACATCTGTCGCTTTGACTCTGCAGTCAAAGAACTTGACAATAGGTTCTACAAACACTGTTTCTCACTTAATAAACCAAGGTGGATCAACTCATATTTTTGAACCGATAAAAGTGTCAAAGGCCACTTCATTTTTGAACAATATCAAGGCAGGTGATGGCAGATTTGTTTTAACAACAATCTGTGAGGCATATCCAACAGCTCTTGGTTTCATTAAGATGCATTCGAAAGTGAAATGCTCTGAAACACTTCAGATGTTCCCTACTTTTAAGAATTTGGACACAAATCAGAGATGTGAAGTCGTAATCTCTAAAATGAGTCTCAAATAGAGTTATTTTTTTATTTTATTTTGTGTATTCATATTTTTATAATTAAAATCTTTTTATATATTAATAATCATTATTTTATATAATGTTTTTGGATCATTTGTTCAAATCTTCAAAATAATTAAACTAAAAATAGGTGAACCAAAGGGTAAAAACATAGATACGAATGAGATGTAGGAATATACTGTTTAGAATTATAATGCCAGCTAAAATAATCAAAATAGGTCGTAATAATTAAAAAAATCCATCATATATGTTGAAAATTGAATGATTTGATGTGAATACTTGAATATTTTCAATTTTTAACTTCATTTAAATTGAAGGTCATTCAATTATTGAAGTAACTATATTTGCAATCATGGATGAAATTAGCTCAAAGGAGGTTTATTTCTAGTAAATAATATCATCTTGAAACCATCAATTTCACATCTTTTGGCAGAAATTTGATAGATAAGCAAATTATGCTTGAATGCTGTAAATATTATTACTTACTAAAAATACACTAAGATTAAGTTTAATCCCGATAATTTAGATTTCTGAAAGTATTGAATTTGATTTTCCCAAAATTTGTAAAATGCATTATAAACATTAAGAATTACAAAATGAGTAATAGTATGAATCTTGCAATCCCTCTCAAAATATAATCACTCGCATTCAATATAACGGCGTCTCACGAATTTGAGAAGAATCATCTACCTAACCAGAGTTAATCATGTAATATATCAATATTACATCTCGATTTCAAATTTTTGATGTAATTAAAATTTTGTGTATTAATTCAAAAACTATAAAAATGTTTTGCATTCTCTTTTACCGAATTAGCTGCGAAAGAGATCGTGTTACTGGATGTGAAGGCACAGTTGGTTATCATCCTCAAAGAAGAGAATATATTAATAGTCCAAATTGCTTCTTTGGAAATTATTTAGTCAAGCCAATTGGAGGCAAATAACAAGATTATACATATACTGTAGAAGAAGGAAAATACTACGCGGTTGTTTCCTTAAGTTCAAAAGTATTTTCAACAGGTTCGGGTAGAGATGTTTATTTCAATCATTTTGACTATCCTGATGAAGGAAAAGAAATTGTATACACAACAAATGCTGTAAATTTGCCATTATGGCATGATTTCGAACTTAAAAAGGTGCTCAATTACAATATCCAAAAACAGCTCTTAATTTTACATTTTCAACAGATAACTGTTTTGCAAACGCTATGGTTAAAATAGACGATGGTATCTATAATGGTGTAGGTCCAAGCCTAAGATACAAAAGTTACATCAGCGATGTACATGTTCCAAATCCACAAGTTACAATGCAACTAGGAAGTTCAAATAAATCTCAAATGTATTTAACAATTGTTCCAGATGGATCGTATTCTGGTGATGAATTCGAACCAAAAAGGATCCCAACAGTTCATGGAGTTTATGAATATTCTAAATTAAGTCCGCCAAGAATTATTCATCCAAATCAATATTGCGATTCTGAAATGGAATATCCGATTGTTTTTGAGCATTATAATATATCTTGTAATCAATATCATGATTTCAGTTTTCGACAAGATATTAAACAAGAAATTCCAAAAGGAGAAACATTTTGTTTTATTGGAAGTGCATTAATGGCATCAAAACAAAAATATTCTGTCGAAGTAAGAACATTTACAGGTTATAGAACAATTCCAACACCTTCAAACAGAAAATTATCTGAAGACTATTTAGATTATAATAATTTTATTGATCCTTTATCTGGTTATCCTTATGAGCATTCAACAACTCCACAAAAATTCAAGAATCCTCTTTTAATCAGAGATAAGAGACCATTAATGGCTATTACATGTGATGATGATGTTAATTGTTCTATGGAAATCATGAAATATAGTTATGGCAAAATTAATACGGAAACTTTCCCAGAAGATTTATATGTTATCTCAAATCAACTTGAAACAAAAGTGGAATTCAATATTGATAACAAAGTTACATCACTGTTATTATATAATAAGATTTATAAACCAATCGATATTACTAAAGAAGGAAATATTAATATATATCAATTCAATGAAGAATTAATTCTTAACGAACAGTATTTTAGATCCTCTAATTATTATCTCATTATGAATCAAAATTCAGATTTTCAAGGAAAAATTACATTTAATTGCAGTGGACAGGCGATTTTCCAATCTATTATGCCAGCATTTATTGGAAAAGTACCTTCAAATGGTCTTGCATTTACTTTGAATGAATTGATTAATGAATATAAGAATCCAGGCTCTTATGATCCGACAAAGAGTGAATTTTTAGACAAACCACCAACAGATCCAGATGATGAAGGAAAGGATAAAGAAGGTGATGGAAAAGATAATGAAGGTACAGAACCTTCAAAGTCTGGTGAAGAAAGTGATCAAAATGGTCAGAAGTCAGGCAAATTATCAGGTGGCGCATTAGCAGGTATCATTGTAGGCGTCATTGCTGTTATTACAATTGTCGTAGTTGTAGTAATATTCTTAATTATTAAGAAATCACATAACGATAAACAAACTGAAGAAATGGAAGTTTAATATAAAGAGATTATTTTAGGATTATTTATTTTTTATGATGTAATTATAACATATTGATATATGAGTTATTTTATTATGAATAATTTGCATAATCAATTTGATTTTGAAAAAATTGTTATTATTCTTCATATCAAACATCCGTGAAGATATAGATTGAGAATGAAAATAGCATATCATATATATGTATGAAAATATATATGTTAGACAATGATATTCCAAATTTGGATATAATTTCAAACTAAATTCGAAATCTCACTAACAAAGTTTGAGATATATTGTGTTTTTACATTGTAATCACTAATGATATTTGAATATTTATGTCTTTTTGCTTAATATTCTTATTTCGGTATTGCTTTGAGATAAAATCTCTTATTTCACAAAATTCAAAGAAAACTGTTGGCATACCTATTAAAACATTATTTCATATCAAAATACTCTCAAAATACAATGCGTAATTCTTTGTGGACTTATTGTGAACATTGAATCACGAAACTGCAATCAAAAATATCTATTTGGGTAATCATTATCTTTACCATTCATCAAACGCATTCATATCAATGGATTCTTTAATTTATGATGCCCCTATTTACATATCTGATTAAGCGGAGAATGGTTTGACGATTATTTTTTAAAAAACCTTATCGATATTTCTTTATTGCATGATAACATTATCATAATTCACTCATTCTTGAAAAATACGATAAATTCAATATTTTGACTATATTTTGCGGTTTAAGATTTCAATGAACGTAACTCTTTCTTCTCTTCGTGTAGCCAATTATTTAGGTTCTCCTTTCATGAACTTTGCTAGAATGCAAAGATTAGATATCTCTAATACCCGATTAAATAAATTTTCGAACCATTTCTTAACAAATTTCATTTCTCATAATATAAATGCGAATATTGAAACATCCAAATTCACAAACTTCATGAAATCCGTTGTTATGTTTAACAAGGAAAACCATGTTGGCACAAAATTCAGTTCTACGTTCACAGGCGGCAGTGATCAACAAGTCAGCTTCCACAAATGCACATTCGAGCGTTGCACTAATTCAAACTTTGGTGGTGCTATTAACATCGAAGATCCATCATTCCAAATGAACATTACCTCTTCTTCTTTCATTTCTTGTTCAGCAGGAAAAGATGGAGGTGCAATCTATACTGAAGTGAACAACTCAAGAATTAAGAGACTCTTGTTCAATAAATGCCATGCCGGAGAGTCTTGCTCATACCAAACATTCCTTATTACTTTAAGAGGACAAGCTGATGCAGAAAATATCCAGATTAACGATAACGGACATCCCGTCGAGTCAGACTCGTTCTGTACTTTTAATCTTAAACGTGGAAATGTAAACGCGAAGCAATTTAACGTTACAAATAATGTGGTTTACTCGTTCGGTGCAGCATTGACAGCCACATTAGCCAGAAAAGCCAGATATAACTTAATTTACTCTAATTTCATTGAAAACCATTGCCAAGATCGTGAATTATTCTCATTATATCATGCAAGCTTCGAATGCAACCTTAAATACTGCAATGTACTCGGAAATGAGGGTGGAAGCCAGTCTATCCTCTTCTCTAGCGTAGGAAATTGTCATTGCACAGTTTACGGATGCGTAATCTTGAGAAACAAAGTTGCATCACTTGCAATCATTAATGATCTTAACCTTATATTATTTGAACATTGTGTCTGCGATGTGGAACAAACTGGTCCAAGAACAGTTCACAATATTGAAGTAACATTTAAAGCTGAAGACTTCCCAACCATTCAGATCTTCAAATGATTCGATAATTTAACTTGTTTGTTAATTCTTAACGGATTTAATAAAGAATTATGTAAAATCAAATTAAATTTTTTAAAAAATATTACAAATAAAGTTAGTGACCAAATAAAAATTAGTTTTCTTAAAAATTTTCTTCAATATCTATTTAAAATAATGGATATTGAAGAATCATTACAATAAATATTCTTCCTGATAGTGTTTCATGCTTCCAAAATCACATAATATGTTGTTATAGCTTAGGTACTATTCTATACTATAAGTTATTGAGTAATACAAGAGTAATCAGACCGAAATAAAGAATAATTTTAATTTCTGTCATGTAAAATATGTCAAAAAATAAAAATATAAAATGGATTTTTTCTATCAATTTAGTGCATTAATCATAGCATTTTCTGCTTTAATTTTCAACACAATCATGAGAATAAGATTGATTGCAAGACTTGATTCGCGGTGGATTAACAAACGAGACTTTTTTAAACATTACGATTTTGGACTTACAATTTTTGTTGCAATACGAGCAATTGCTGCAATAATTTCAATATTACCCGATATAAAATCATTCTTACTATTCTCAATCAGTTTTTCTACTTTTATTTATGATGCAATTTGCATTATTCAAGGAAATCTCTTTATCACTTTTCCAGATATTAGCAAACGAATAGGAAAGATTGAATTAAAAGAATATATTTATTTAATTCTTTATATTATCTCGATAATTTATCTAGGCTATATTATGGTGAATCAAGGAGATGAATTAACCGAGCAAGATACAGCAGCATATAAATCAATTATCGGATAAAAAATATTAAAAAAAAAATTATAAAATTACCAAGAATCTTCTTATATTAAAAAACCTTACTGCTAAACATATAGTTTATTTGTTATTTATTCATTTTTATTTGATATTAATTTTTTATCAAACAAAATCTTTGAAAAATCCAGTGTAATCGTAAGATATTCAATATGCTTAGAAGAAATGATAGTATGTTCCATCTCATGTTACATAAATAAGTCATGATTTGTTTTTGAATTTTTCTTCTATATAGATTTAGTAAATATACTAATTATAATAGTAAGTCCATATGGGAACTAATAAAGGATTTCTCATTGTTAACTTTTTATATAGGGAAATAAAAAATTTTTATCAATCCCAATAAATTGAGAGTTCCCTCAAAATTGATAAAGATCGACTCAGAAAAGTTTGAGATCTATTGAAAATATCATATTAATGCAAAGCATTTTAATATTGTGATGTGTTGCATGATAAATTTTTTATGTGCTTGTCATTTTCACTTTTTATATATTCATGAGTGACTTTTTAATAAAGTATCATGATTTTATATCTGCATTCGAGAGTCTGTATCACTTACATTCAAGTGAACCTATTGAAGATATTCTTCAATTGATTCTTGAGTGTTTGGTGGAGAAATATAAAATTTCCAGGGAAATACTTCTCAAAAGCATATCAATCGCAAGTAAATTCAATTATGGATCAATTAACCTTTATTCTCAAATATACGAAAAATTACAGGACCATTTTTCAAAAAATCAATCAGATCAAAAATTCGAACCTTTTAGGAGAGATGTTTATATTGGTTCATATAGACTTAATAAATGCTTCTCTGATAATGAAATTGATTGCATTATAATGAATGATCAAATTGATAAATTTAAAGAATACATTTTACACAATGATCTAAAAATTGCTCAAAATCCTGGTGAATTTACGAATCTTGAAAAATGCGCTTATTTTGGTTCGGTGAATATTTTCAATTTTATACTAATGTATTTTGAAGAAAAAATAACCAAAATATGTCTCCATAATGCAATTATTGGCAGAAATACTGACATTATCAATGAATGTTTGAAAACCCAACATATTGATGGAGATTGCTTCAACTATGCAATTAGCTCGCATAATAATTCTTTTCTAAAATATATTTTGGATCATGATCATGAAAAAATCTATTCATTAGTAACGTTTCATTTTGAAAAGATTTTCCATTCACAAAATCTTGAAGCTGTTTATCTTCTATATGAAAAAGATACTAAATTGATTTTTCCATGGTGTGCAGCATTTCCGCAAACTTATGATATCATCGAAATTGAAATGAATAATATCAATATAGAAACGTACCATTCACAGACGGTGTTACATTTTGCAGTTCAATTTAATTGCATTGAAATCTGCGAACTGCTATTAAATAATTTGGAAATCAATCATATTGATATTAATGCTATCGATTGGAATAAAAAAACTGCCCTAGCATATGCTGTGGAGCTTAACTTGAAAGATATTGTTGAACTTCTAATTTCCTATGGTGCAGATATCGATTTAAATAGCTGTTCTAAAAATATTTTGAATTATGCCATAAAAAATAAAAATAGGGAAATTATTGAACTTCTTATTTCAAATGGTGCAAATATTAATTTTATTGGTAATGATGGATGTCCTCCTTTAGAAGTTGCAATGCTGAATTATGATATTGAAACAGTCGAATTCCTTATTAATTGTGGGGCAAATGTCAAACTTTTAGAAATAAATGATACATTTGAGATAAATGAAAATAACAAAAGAAACAGAATACCTCCAATTCAATGTGCAATAGATCAACTATCATCCGATTGTACTGATGAAAAAGATAAAATTTCTCTTCAAAAAATTATTGAAATATTTGTATCTCATGGCCTTGATATCAAGGCAAAGGATTCTAAAGGAAAAACTCCTCTTCACTATGCCATTCAACTTAATAAAGCAAATGCTATTGAGTTTCTTCTCGCACAAGGTGCTGATATAAATGCATCAGATAACGACGGAAAAACTCCTATGCACTATTTCGCAGAAAATATGAATAAAAATATTTTTGAGATTCTTATATCTAATGGTGCTGATATAAATGCAATTGATATATCTGGAAAAACAGCACTTCATTGTGTAATAAGAGGAATTATTTTTAAATCCAGATATAGTAGTAAGAAATCTATTTTGTGTAACAGTGAACAACGTTGTCAAGAAATTGTTGAGATTCTTGTATCTCATGGTGCTGGGGTCAATAACAGACAAGAAAATGGTAAAACCGCTCTTCATTATGCAGTAGAACAAAATTCTATAAAAATTGCTGAATTTTTACTTTCTAATGGTGCTAATATTAACGAAAATTATGAAAATGGAAAAACTTGTCTTCACAGTGCAGTTGCAATAGACATAGAGGAAATGGTTATATTTCTAATTTCTCATAGAGCAAGTGTCAATGCAAAAGATGACTGTGGAAAAACTGCTCTTCATTATGCTGTGGAAGAAAACAATAAAATCATGGCAGAAATACTCATTCATCATGGTGCTGATGTCACTGCGAAAGATCAATGTGGTAAATCTGTTCTTCAATATGCATATGAGCAGAATTGTAATGAAATGATTCAATTGTTGATTACACATGGAGCTGATTCAAACTGAAATGATTTTATAAGGCTATATAATCATATGTTTACAGAATAATGAATACCATATAAAATTTCCATTTGGATATTATATCTAAATGAATTATTATCACATCATTAATTTTTATCATCCAGCATTATCCTAAAACTTTTCTATTTTTATTTAAGATGGGTTTAACTGGTATATCACTGACTTTTTCATAATTCTTAAATAATTAATGAATACATTCCTTTAAAGTAAAAGATTATAATTTAAAGTATGGCATTCCAAACGGGAACCGCGGTTGGTTACCATGGATTTCCGTCACCGGTCACATTTTAAAGATTTTTAAAGCCTTATAAAAATATGCTTTGTAAATCATTTTTTGTAAATCGGCAAAAATTTGGTAATTTTCTTCAACTAATAAATCTGCGAATAGCATTTATAATACAAGAACAATCTTTTAAAATGCGTTTGATTCATTTTTGTATAATTTCATATAGGCACATATATTCTTCCGGGACTTTCCGTGATTTTACCGTAAAATCATTAGTTTACACCAATTTTTCCGTATTTTGAATAGTTTACTGCACTTTTTCCGTAAAATTGAGTTACCGGAATCCGCAAAATTTCCGGACCTCATTTTTCATAGAATATAATAATAATATTTGATAAAAAGATATATTATTTATATTTTTGATTTTTGAATTACGGAAAAAGTGAATTGATAACTTGATTTTTTTATATGGTTAATTTTTCAAATGATATTATGAAGATCTAAAATATTAAAAGTAAAAAATTGAATTACGGAAAAAGTGAGGTCAAAGGTGAAATAAATTTGCAGAACAATTTTCATTGAAATAAGCTTTATTTTTCATTATTAATAACAATGCAAAAAAAAAAAAAAAAAAAAAAAAAAAAAAGGGAGTGGGGCTTCCAGGCACTTCGTGCCTTCTAGCCCTGAAGATGTTTAGTATAAATGAAGTTTTTATTCGGAGGGCTTCCAGCCCTAAGAATTTTTCCCAAGACCCAAGAGGAGGACCGAACCCCAGCCGACCAGCCGTTGACTTTTTTGTCAAGACTTCTTCGTAAATGTTTTGTCAAGACTTCTTCGTAATGAGCGTAAAAGACCCAAAAATATATTTTATGTTAGAATGTTAGATCTAACATGTTTTCTAACACGTTTTCTAACATCGTAGAAAACTCATGATTTCATCGTAAATGTTTTGTCAAGACTTCTTCGTAAATGTTTTGTCAAGACTTCTTCATCGTAAATGTTTTGTCAAGACTTCTTCGTAATGAGCGTAAAAGACCCAAAAATATATTTTATGTTAGAATGTTAGATCTAACATGTTTTCTAACACGTTTTCTAACATCGTAGAAAACTCATGATTTCATCGTAAATGTTTTGTCAAGACTTCTTCGTAAAGAGCGTAAATGACCCAAAAATAATGTTTATGTTAGAATGTTAGATCTAACACGTTTTCTAACATGTTTTCTAACCTCATGAATTTTCATGAACTTTCTTTACAAAGTCTTTACGATGAAGAACTTTACAAAGTCTCAACAAAACATTGACAAGAAAGTTCATGAGAAAGACTTTACAAAGTCTTTACGATGAAGAACTTTACGAAGAAATCTCAACAAAGTCTTTACGAAGAAGTCTTGACAAAACATTTACGATGAAATCATGAAAATTCAAGAGGGTAGAAAACATGTTAGAAAACATGTTAGATCTAACATTCTAACATAAAATATATTTTTGCTGAATTCCGTATGAAATTTCATGAATTTTGTATGTTTTAGACCATGTTAGAAAACATGTTAGAAAAGAGGTTAGATCTAACATTCTAACATAAACATTATTTTTATTGAATTCCGTATGAAATTTCATGAGTTTTGTATGTTTTAGACCATGTTAGAAAACATGTTAGAAAACATGTTAGATCTAACATTCTAACATAAAATATATTTTTGGGTCATTTACACTCATTACGATGAAGAAGTCTTAACAAAGTCTTTACGAAGAAATCTCAACAAAGTCTTTATGAAGAAGTCTTGACAAAACATTTATGAAGAAATCTCAACAAAGTCTTTATGAAGAAGTCTTGACAAAACATTTACGAAGAAATCTCAACAAAGTCTTTACGAAGAAGTCACAACAAAACATCTGTCAAAAGCCGCTTTTTAACTTCACTTAAAATGCCACGTAAGCTACGTAAGAATATACGTAAGAGGAAGAGAGCATTGAAACATCCAATAGTAAAACTAACACCACAACAACAGTTGCAACAACAAATTATGAATGACCCCACTATGTTGCAACAAATGTCAAGCAATCCTATGCTTTTAAACCGAGTTGTTGGTGCACAGAGTGGAGGTTTAAGAGCGGCACTTTTAGCGAAAATGGCAGGCTATGGTGGAGCTGCAGACGGAACAGCCTATAACCCTCAAAGTCAAATGAATTTGAGTTCACTCAAAAATCAAATAACAGATGTCAAAAAGTCAAACATAGACATACAGAAGCAAATAAGTGAAAACGAAAAGAAACTAGAATATGACAGACACACAAAGAAACTCAATGAGTTAAACGTAGAGAAAAAGAAGAAAGAAGAACAACTGAAAGAACTAAGTACAGAGGAATATGCGAAAAAAGTGTCAGAAAAAGCAGCAGAAGTAGCAAAAATGGAACAAGATGTTGTAAATTTGAAAAACCATACTACTCAATATAAAATACTGAAAGATGAAGAGATAAAACAAAAAGCCCTGAAGACATATATGGATAGCGATGAGTATAAAAAAGAAGTTGAAGCAAATGTAAAGGCAGAAAAACTTTTACAGTTGCAAAACCAAACCGTACAGTATGAAAACTTAGCACAAGAAAGTAAAAATAACGACGCAGCCATGCAAAAGGCAATGAAAAGCGCAGAATATATAAAAGCTAACAATGACTGGTTAGATGCCCAAGCCAACGCTAAAGCAGCCCAGCTTATAGGGTCAATAAGGACAAAAATACAAGCGGATGAAGACAGTTCAAATGAAGCTTTAACAAATGCTGACTTTAAGAACGCCTTCGAAGCTCTTCATAGTAAGGTGAAACAAGTGAACGACTTCTCATCTGGAAAGAAACTGAAGTCTGAAGGTTTCGACAAAGAGTTAAAAGAAGTAGCACAAAATATGACGAAAATAACAGATGCAGCAACGAGACAGGCAGTTCAAAGTGCCTATGACGCCGTTAGAGCAACTGTTGTGAAAAGTCAAGAAAAAGAGTTACAACAGACCAAAACAGACCTAGTAAATGCTTTCTTAAAAACGAAAAGTCAGGTAGGACATTACGCTGCAGATGGAACATATGTGCCAGCTGGTGGAACTTATATACCACCAAACCCTCCAAGAGAAGCACCTGCACCAGGACTACCTAACACATTTACATCGTCACATGGACATAGACACAGGCATGCACCAAAACCAACACAACAACCTCCACAACCAGCACAACAACCAGCACAACAACCACCTCCACAACCAGCACAACAACCAACAGTTCAAAACCCTGCACAACAACAACCACAAACAGAGCAAGGACATAAAAGAAGTAGAGAACAAGGAAACCAAGAATTCTTAAAAATGCTTAAAGAAGAGTGTGGTTTCCCAGATACTGTTGACTTTAGTGACAGATATAAAGAAGCTATTGGAAAGTTCAAGGATGGAAATACTGACCCGAACCTATTTAGCTTTATGGCTCTGCACCAAAGGGGATATAATTTCAAACCTGGAAAATACAAGCTCGCTAAGGGATATGATTTAATAGCATATCATCCAAATGACATGAACGAATTTACTCCGAGATATTGATGTCAGAGCTAAATGACAATTTAACTCTCTTCATGAAACGCGTAAAAAATAGAGACGGAACGAAAGAAGAAAGGTTTATGAGTCCGGATGACTTAGAAAGGGAACTTGTTGAAAACGGTCTCGGAATATATGAAATGCCAGCAGATGAGGTACAAGAAACTCCACAGGAAGAACTAGTTCAGATACAACCAGACATGGAAGAAATAGTTCAGCAACAACAGCTAGAAGAGCCTGAAGGAAACGAACAAGTCACTCCTTTGGAAACTAACTTCACAGAACTAGATGAAGATTTGGAACAGCCGAAAAATCTTGACCCTCAACAAGAGTATGCGGAGAATATGGAATATTTCAAGAGTCTAAAAAAAATTCGGCTGACATAGTAGAAGAATATCGAAAAATGTTTGCCGACATCAAAAGACTCCAACACCAGATTGAAAATATTCAGCATAGAATGATGAATACTGAAAGAAAATGTACACAAATACAACAACCCTTTTTACTTACGAGCATTTAACGTTCAATCTTCGGATGAACTCGGTGAAAATAAAAGGTTTAAATTTCAAAGAAAACATATAGAAATGAAACATTGTTTAAAGTTCATTCAGAACCTAACCAAGATGGAAACAAACCTACTTTTGTTCTGCAGGACGATGGAACTACAATGAGATGGTCATAAAGCTAACCCGGATAGGTGGTTCATTAAAACTTACAACCACAATTCCAAGAAGTTGTAGACGCAATGAAGTCAATGGTGAACAAGATATAGCTGGTATTTTAAGCGCGGCTTTAATGCCATTGAAAGATATGAAACATGCAGATTTTGGACCAGTATGAAATGAACATGGCTGATGGAAATATAACACCTGACGTTCTAGAACATTTATCTCAAAGAACTACACAGAACCATAGAGATGGTATATTTGGTGAAGAGTTTAGAAAGAAAGTTAGGGAGGAGAAGGAAGAGAACCTATTGTACATGACCTTGCAACGAAAGTTTACAAAATGTCATAAAAACTTTACTTTGCAGACAATGAACCGAGAAGGGATGAATATTAAGAAAACTCAAATGGACAGTACCAAATGAAATGTTAGTATTGAAAAACATGTTCCTTGACAAAATAAAACCAACTACAGAAATAAACGACGCAAGACTGAAAGATTGGGTAGAAGCTTTCCCATTCACAAAAGATATAATTGGTAACAGGAAAGAAAACCAGAATGGCTACAAAAACATTATATTTGGAAACGAGCATATTCCATATGGACAGGCATGCTTTTGAAGCGCTTGAACCGGAAACTCAGGAAAGAGTCATGCAAACAATACGCGAAGACTCAAATACAGACTATGACAACTCTTTCTAGGATATTAGGTTACCTGAGATGGGCGACCAGAGCCAAAAGGCCAAAAAGGACATGGGAAATTTGCAACATACTAGAATGAACATAATGCAAAGATGCAACAACTTCAAGCAGAGGGCAATGAAGGAAAAAGAAGAGTTAAAAACTCAGTCAGGAAGAAGTAAAGCTTGGTCCACGTGGGTTCTATTATGACATATAAATCCAACTATTCTATATTTTTACTCATATGAAATGTACGCCGCTCAGAATATAACGCCAACAGTTTTGGATGCTATGAATGGAAATGTTTCCGAATGGTATAACGAATGCGACAATTGCCATTAGAAGGTCAGAAATAGTTCTGGAACTTACGAATATACAACTGCTGTTTCTTATGGAAACGTAGGTGAGTTTGGAGAAGGTTCTTCAACAACAGTAGATATTGCTTGCGACAGGTTTTCATATAATTTCTATTGACAATCTTTCTTATACGTGGAACAAGACATTGAAATAAAACCTTCTGCCAAGTTGTCTGACAAGAAAGGTTGCAATGGAATTTTCTATGTCGGATACCAATATGCTCCAGAAGTTTTCATGGGATATAGATATATTCTAACTCTGACTTAGTTCACAACAGTAACATGGGCAAACTATGAATGGTTCGCTTTGAGAAACTCAGTACAACCACAAGCTAGAGAACAAACAGACCAGTATGCAACTATTGAGAAAATAAGAAGACTTGACCCTAACGTTCCAGGAGTTTATGTTAACCTTTCTGGACAAACTGCAGCAGCAGTAACCAAAGTAAACTGAAACTTAGAGTCCCTTTGTCATCTTTCCTCATCTTCAGGTTTTTAAGATACTTGCCAAACTGGGCAGGAAAAATTTCTATCGAACTTACTCCAAGCAAAAATAACTTAGTCATTGCACCCAACACAAGACCCATTCACTTCTTACAGACGTAAAGGGAGCAAATCAAACGTCATTCGCCGACTTTTGCAAAGACAAAGTTGACTTAGACTTTGGTTTCTCAAACTTCAACACTGAAGTAAACATTATTTCAATGCTGCTGAAATGCTTGGACCCAGTTAAGTTCACATGCGAAAAGTTTTGAATGCAAGAGAATAGAAAGCAGACTTGCAGTCTATATGTTGGACCCAGATATTTCAAATGCTTTAGCTGCCAAATATATTGCAGTTCCACTTATTTTCCCTATACACCAAATATCTGTCAAAGACTTTGCAGTGAAGTTGGAAACCAAAGTGCTGACCAGGTGCAAGAACAGATATTGCTTTAACAACTGCAATGAAACATGCAATTACTATGTTTGTACTGTTCAGACGAACTATAAATGACTATTCTTGCTTCTACAACCCTGGTATTAAATACCATATAAACATAGATGGCAAATACTATCCAAGAGAAGAATATTCTACAGTTGAGGATATGAGGTCATACAACTTGACATTAGATGCTATGAACTTTAACAACAACTTCACAACAACCATTAACCCTGAAATGCAAGTTCTATTATGCCATATGTGAAAGTATGGACTCATACAGGAGCTCAAAAAACTCAATATAAAATGGAGACCGTTCAAACTTTTGGCTTGGCATTCCATTTGCTGACTCAGAAGACTTTATGGGTGGTATTTCAACTGTTGGTACAGTTCAAATACAATATACTGGTGACAGAGGACGGTCCAGATGAATTGAAAGCAAAGAAGTTTACAAAACCAATAGCACTTTTCACAGAAGATGCTCTTTTGAAGATTCGTTCGATGAAACCTGCTGGGCTCCTCAGATTGGCATAACGACAGCTTCCATCGAGCAGATTTTGGCAGCAGGTCAGTAAGTTGTTCTTGAACTGACTTCTCTCCGTCAAATATTGACAGTACGCCAGTTTTGACATAATATTGTAAGATAAACTTACCTTTTAGAAATATCTGTAAGTTTTGTTGTTATATTTTGTCAACGTCAAGAACTTTCACCATCTCGGTTATACCAACTTTCTTTGCTTTATGGAAATATTTTGGTTTCAGCAAATATTGCTATTCTATAACATTTACCATTGTTTGTATAAAGAACTATTCTGTCAATGTATTTGTATTGTTTGTGTGTGTAAACTTTGTTCTGCTTCAATTCGAGAAGATACTCAAATACGTCCATCTTTTTATTCTAAGTAAAATGTCATTTCCGAAAAATAGAAGCGTAAGTGTTTCAAAAGGTTTAATGGCGATGGCAGATGTGAAGTTAAATTCACCAACTCAAACAAACAGTCAAAGTGTTGTTGTCAATGTCAAAGAAAGAGATGTTGAAGTGGAGAAACCATACGAAGACGAAGATGGTATAACAATAGTTCCTGTAAAAGAACAACCAACATATCCTGAAGTTAGCAGAGACTTAAGTTCTGTTGCAGATATTCGAAACGACTACCAACAACTTAAAGACAAACTTAAAACTCAGGAGAAGATTTGTCAAGCTTTGGGTATAATGTTAAACTTGGTCGAACACAACCCTGTAAAAGTGAACTCATATGTCATCGCACCTCATGAAATTTTGAAAGAACTATTGAAACTTTTGACAGAGGCAGACGATATAAACATCAAAGAAATAGAACCCGACGTTAGTTGCTGTGGTGTTTCATATAATGTCATTGACAAGATATACGTTATGAAAGGAGGTGAAACGTTGAACTTAAAATATAGTTTCCCAGACGTTATAAAAATATTTGACGACCACAACATTTCATTAAAATTTATTTGCTAAGTAAATGGCAGAAGACATAGTGGTTTATACTATTACGACTAAAAACCCTGAGTCATATAATTCTATAACAACAAACTTACAAAGTCCTCAAGGACGATATTGTAAACTGACCTTAAACACGATGACGACTAAAGCCTGTTTTGCTCTTTTGACACCAGAAGACTTTGTTGTTGTGAATGGTAAAAAATACTCCTTTGAAGATACTTACTCAGATATACCACCAACAGGTTTTGTTGACTTATTTAATACTTTAAGGACGGATGTAACATGTGCTGCAACTAGAGCAGGTTTCATTATGTTTGGATGTCCGACTGAGTTTAGTATAAACGATATGAGCTATAATACAAAACTTATATCTGGTTTTTACTACCAACAGTTTCCTATAACAGGAAAAGGTGTCAT